TATATAAATATAAAAATTTTTTTCCCTACTAATGCAATCATCCACCAATCTACGCAAATTTATAAGTTTTGCGCGTAAATTAAGATCGTGACCACGCGTCAGGCGCGTTGTTTCAAAATATACCTACCCAATAATTGTTAAAAACAAAATACAAATTGCTTACACGAGTGTTACTGTACGCATTGCACACTAATCAGATTCGTTCTCAAATAATTGTGACAATCATACAATAAGTAAATATGTATAATAAACATAATATAACATATATTAACATAATTGAATTTATGAGTTATAATATTTAAAATGAACAAAAACACATAAAATTAAGATTAAAAAAAACATACACATGTGTAACTAATAATTAACCACACAATAATACCTAGTCAGGTCATAAGTATTGTCACACAGTAAAAACTTTTCTTTTAGAATGCTGGCCACAAAAAAGTTTATTGAATTCGAATTTCGAATTGTTCATGAAAATAAAAATGTATACTTTTAGAATTTTACTCATTTTTAAATATGGAGTGGACGCTTAAAGAAGACCGTGTTGCAGTTATTGCGTTGCATCGTTGCGGTTACGCGCCAATTCAAATTTTTAACATACTGAAAAGAAATTTGAATATAACCAAAAGATTCGTTTATCGTACCATCAAACGATACAATGAAGACTCTAGTGTAGATGACAGGTCAAGAAGTGGTGCCCTCGGTCTGTTAGGACTCCAGCAGTGATAAAAGCTGTGAAGGCGCGAATTCAAAGAAATCCCAAACGTAAGCAGAAACTGTTGGCCCTTCAGATGCGGCGGTTAAGCAGAACCACGGTGAAAAGGGTGTTAAATAAGACTTAGGGCCTTCGGCATATCGAAGAAAAACAGGACATCGTTTGAATGGCTTTCGTTCTAAATTTGGACCTGAGACTGCAAGTGAGATGCCGCGCTTTGTTGAAGCGGTAGCGCCGGAAAAAAAAAATATCGGAAATTCTTTTTTCGAGATAAAAAATTTTTTTACCGTAGAAGAGAGCTACAACAAACAAAATGATAAGGTGTACGCACACAGTAGTGAAGAAGCGAGCAACCGTATTCCGCGTGCGTGTCCAACGAGGTCATTTTCCATCCTCGCTCATGGTATGGTTGGGAGTTTCTTATTGGGGCTTAACAGAGGTACATTTTTGTGAGAAAGGTGTAAAAACGAATGCAGTTGTGTATCAAAATACAGTCCTGACGAACCTTGTGGAACCTGTTTCTCATACCATGTTCAATAACAGGCACTGGGTATTCCAACAAGATTCGGCGCCAGCTCATAGAGCGAAGAGCACACAAGACTGGCTGGCGGCGCGTTGAAATGGACTTCATCCGGCACGAAGACTGGCACTCCTCCAGTCCAGATTTGAATCCATTAGATTACAAGATATGGCAACACTTGGAGGAAAA